CCCCCCCAAAGCTGCAAAACAACCCAATAGACTTTACAGGAACAGCCCTGGAAGCCCTTTTTCCTCCCAGAGCTGGCAGTTGTATCCCCCAAACAATGGAGGGGTTAAACATTATTCCTTAAGTTCTAGTTTAGATGCTGCATCATGCATTCTAGATTGTAAAATAGGAGCCTGGGAGTTGCTGGACTAAAATTTTGACTCAGCAGTCTAGCATTTTCCTGCATCTGTCCTACTGAAGAATAGAACCAAAGCATCAGAATGCTTGAAAACTGTTGAAGAAAGTCTCTGATTCTGTCTTCAAAATAGGTTCCCTAAGCCAGCACCTTTTACAGAGCTGCTGCAGTGCGTTGTTTCTCACTATATCATCCATGGAGATCACACTGAAATGGTAACTAGTCAGCTTCCTCCCTGAAGCAGGCATGAAGAAGCTCTGTGTCCCATTCTGAAGTCCCTGCTCATCACATCTTTACAGTGCTTTTTTTATTTCAAAAATTGTTGATTCTGCTATATACTTCCCTCCCCTGCTGTTGGGTTTCCAGCTGTGCTTCTATATTGCTGTCATCCACTTGTGCCTTTGTCTTCTGTTCACAAATAAAGAACATCTGCAACCAGAACTTGACGACTTGTCTCTGTACAGTGGGTCTTCACCCTTGCTGTAGCCACTGAACAGCGACAGTGATACAGCAGGTTCATCTTCGTGAAGGGAGATGCGGGACTATGGGGAGTAGGCTAAGGGGGCGGAGTGGGCGCGACCGCGCCGCTTCCACCCCCCCTCACCGCCCTCTCCTTCCTCGTCCGCCACAAATCACAAAGCTTGTGTCATAGACTGGCTCCACGGACGAGTCGTTCTAGGACCCTGCGTCCTCCCCATGATCAGTGCTGGCGTGACCCGTGCGCTTGTTACCACTTCCGTCGCGCCCCGGATACGGACGTGGTGCCGAGTCTGCGCGTGCGTGGGTGGGTGAGGGAGGCATCATGGCGGACCTGGCGGCTCTGGAGGAGCTCGCGAAGCTCGAATACTTGTCGCTAGTCTCCAAGGTCTGCACCGAGCTGGACAACCACCTGGGCATCAACGACAAGGACCTGGGTGAGTGAGGCGGGCCCCAGCCCGTGAGCTGCGCAGACGTCTGCGGGCCGTGCGGCCCTTGGGTCTCTCCGTGGCGAGCGCGGCCCGCGGCGCTCCTGGGGCGTAGTAGCCGGTGTCTGTCGCATTACGGGCCTGTGAGAAGGGCTGTTGTAGCCGTTTCTGTCGGCCAGGACGTGTTTTGCGAAGGGGCTTTTCTAATTCAGAAAAAAACGCTGATTTTTCTTAAAAAAATAAAACTTGTGAGTGTGAGAAAATGCTTCGAACTGGGCTCCTACGAAAGGACTTGGAAAGGAACGTGCTGCTATTGTGAGCAACATAGCAGTTTTTCCCTTGGTAGGTAGGCCTAGTTGGTCACTGTGTTGCCAGGAGAACAGCTTTTATCTAAATAGGAAGTATTTATACTGCCTTTTAATTATTTGTTCTAATTTACTTTCTGCTTTTGCTTCACAGCTGAGTTTGTGATAAGTCTTGCTGAGAAAAATACTACATTTGATACATTTAAAGCAGTTCTTCTAAAGAATGGTGCTGAGTTCACAGTAAGTGAGATCTGAACGTCCCTCTCTTCTTTTTAAAGCTTTTGTAGTCTTTGTGAAGCATCCTTCTGAGGACTTGAACTGCTTATTGTCTCGTTGAGCATATAAACTATGGAAGAAATGACTTTTCATGAAGGCAAATGTTGTCTTTTTTTAAATGATATTTAGATGGGTTCATGAGTTCCTCGGAAATAACTGTAGTTGGATTAAATAGGTGATTAAAAATGACAAATAGAAAAGTTGCTTAAATTGATCTATCATTATCATAATAATTTTCAGATTCAACTTACAAATTTTTAGGTCTTATATGAAGTCTAGTGATACTTTCTAAAAATGAACCTGTATCTTCAGAATTGAGCTTTTTTTTTTGTCCTGCTAATAAACCCTCACTTGTGCTTTCTAATAATGAAAAACAGCATTGCAGTAATTTCTTAAAGTATTTTATTAAACTTTTCAGGATTCCCTTATTAGTAATTTGCTACGTCTCATACAGACAATGCGGCCTCCACCAAAACCATCTACGAGTAAAGGTATGCATAATCTCATTCCTCTTATCAATTCAGTGTAAAAGAAAAACAAAACTCTTAGTCTTTTGTAGTTTTTGGCCACGTTTGGTGAAATTGATGTAGTTACTGCGCTAGTCTTGTCAGGCAAGACTTTGTATCTTATTTTTGCAGTGGGAGTCTCTTTGTTAGAGGTAGATTAGCAAAGCTGTTTAGGCACTAAAAACCTACCGACTACACTATTGAGAGTATTTATGTATTCCATGGGCTTGCTAATGATCAGAATTTTATTTGTAGGAAGGTAACATTGTAGTCTTTGTATTGAATCTCTGAAAAATCTGTACCAACCTTTGCCTTCAGATGAAAGTTAAACTTTATATTCAATTACAGAAAGATCAAGAGCAAATCGTTCCAGCTCTTCTAAGTTTTGGGTTTTTTTGTTTGTGTTTTTGTTTTAAATCTCAAATCAGAGACAGCTGTCAAACCCAAATCAGAGAAGGAAAAGTTGAAGGAATTGTTTCCCGCACTTTGCAGGCCAGACAATCCCAACATCAGGGTAAGGTCATAATTTCAAGCTTCTTTCGTGACTATGAAAACGTAATTTTTCTTCTGTTTCTCTTAGTTTTAATTCTTTTTCGTGTTAATGTGAGCATCTCCTGGTACTGCATGGAGAAAACTGGACTATGAAGAAATGAAATACAGAAAAGCAGAAGGCTTGTATTATTGCATGCAGTGATCAGGAATTGCTGTTACAGCAATTGCTATGTTGATACTGTTTTGCAGAATACCTGGAGGATGGGGTTCTTATGACATGAAATGTGTAGCCTGGCCTTTGTTAAATAACGTTCAAAGTAATCACAGAATCACTAGGTTGGAAAGGACCTTCAATGTAATGATGGATTACAAACTAGATAAAATTTTTGGACATTCATATGCTACAAGGGATTTGCATTTTATATTTCTGTAATAATTGGAAGTGTTGAGATGAAGCTGCCTTTTGTATAAAAGCAAAATTGTCTCAATATTGTGGCAAATAGGGGGATAGCTTTATTAGTTGTTTTTTTCCCCATATAATGTATTCTGTCTGATCTGTTTTAGTATTTTAAATAGATACACATGGGATGATCTTTTCTGATAGATTAATTCCCTGAGACACACTTTTTGTCAGTCTTCTTACAGAACGGTTCTCTGTTCTTGCAGAATATGCTGGATGAAGATGATGTGAAAGTGGCAGCTGATGCACTTAAAGAACTAGAAGCTCTGATGCCTAGTGCAGACAGGCAAGGCAAGCAAAGGAACAGTGACCACCGGTATGTTTCTAGTATGTTTTTGTGGGATGGGCAGTTGGCCTGCTTGCTCTGTTCTTATGTGGAATTTCACAGCAAATATGTAATGTTTGTTTGTTAGGGCAAAGAAAAAGAGGAAGAGCCGAAGTCGTAGCAGGGACAGGAAACGAAGGCACAGGTCTCGTTCTTGGACTCGGGATAAGAACAGGGGAAAATCCAGATACCGGTCAAGGAGCAGAAGTCAGAGTCCCAGCAGGGACCGTAAGGATCGAGAGAAGTATGTTGAGAAGAGCAATGAGAGATGGAGAGACAAGCACATAGACCGGCCACCACCTGAAGAGCCTTCCATTGGCGACATTTACAATGGCAAAGTCACGAGTATAATGCAATTTGGATGCTTTGTGCAGCTAGAAGGACTAAGGTACCTTCTGATGTTCACAATAAATCTGGTACTATTTCACCTGAGTTCTCTTTTCTGCTAGTGTCTTAAAGAGGTTATAAGGCTCCAATGAAGTATGCTGGGTTTTGATGCCAAAATGAAGGACTGTTTCAGAAAAATAAATTTGACAGCAGAAAATGTTTTCCGTATAAAAAAGAGTTTATGAATGTACACAAATAATCAGTTGGTAACAAAATATTTTAATCCAGACTCTGAATGATCTGCAGGACTGTCAGGGTAATGATGTACAACATTTTATGCCCTCTGTTTGTTTCGCCTACAGGAAGCGTTGGGAGGGCTTGGTCCATATCTCAGAGCTTCGAAGAGAAGGACGGGTTGCAAATGTTGCTGATGTTGTGAGCAAAGGACAAAGAGTAAAAGTCAAAGTGTTATCCTTCACTGGATCTAAAACCAGCCTGAGCATGAAGGTATGGAAGATATCCTATAGTGCTTAGAGTAGAGTTTGCAGTGCCAACATTTTTCAAGAGTACACCTCTGCTAGTGTTTGCTCTTTTTGATGAAAATGAATACATAACCTTCAAGTGGGAGTTAAATACAGAACAGTAACTCAATTTTTTTAAGTGACCTGTTACTTTTTACTCATTTTCTGTAGGTTCTTGTTTTTGATGTAATGTTCCTAACAATTTTTTGACATGACATGTTAGCTAAGTGACAAGGCAAACCTCAAGCTGTTGCAATGTTTGTCTTCCTTTTTCAGTATGAGAGAAGCATTTCATTTTAGATGAAATCATGGACTTTGCCAAGGCAGAGTAGAGTGTTCGAGGCCTTGGGGTGTACTTACCTCACAGTACCAGCTGGGGAAAAAAAAAAGATGCAAAACAGCATTTTCTGTGTATGGGCTGTTGTTGGCAGTAGTCTCTCTGAAAATATACTCTGCTTTTTCTTTTGTGTTAGAGGAAGCAGAAGTGTTAACAGATAAGAAGTGCAATATAGGTAGACCTGATTTGATTAATCAATCTACTGTAGGATGTTGATCAAGACACTGGGGAAGACTTGAACCCAAACCGGAGGAGAAACCTGGTTGGAGAAACCAATGAAGAAACGTCTATGAGAAACCCAGACAGACCCAGTCACCTGTCCCTGGTGAATGCCCCGGAGGTGGAGGATGATAGCCTTGAACGGAAACGCCTCACCCGAATTTCAGACCCAGAGAAATGGGAAATAAAACAGGTGTGTTTTGTATTCAGTCAGTGAAATTGCTGGGGAGTTTCATGAACTAGAATACAGCTCCTTGATTGTTTGTGTAACTTACTCCTTACCTCTAAATTACTGCTGCTTTGTGATATGGGACTTTTAGCTTAGTTCTAACTAAGAAGTTAGCCCTGCTTTGGGCAGGAGGTTGGACCACATAACCTCCAGAGATCACTCTGAGCTGCGGGAATCATAACCTTTATCCAGGGACACTTCGGTGATACTCGATTATCACTGCAGTCCTGCCATGCATAAGACAGCTGTCTTACACTGATGGTATTTAGAATAACAAAAGGACTGTTTGCTCAGACACTGGATGACTTGGGGAGACGTGTGCCAGAATATAGGATCATTCCTTTTTTCTGAAATCATAATATGCCTTTGTTCCTGTTTTACAAGTCTAGCAATAGCATTGGAAGTGAGACCTCATTAGGCATGAGTTGTGTTGGATCATGGGGACAGATTCATGTTGTATTCATTCTATTCCCAGATGATTGCAGCTAATGTGCTTTCCAAGGAAGAGTTTCCAGACTTCGATGAGGAGACTGGAATTCTTCCTAAAGTTGATGATGAAGAAGGTAGTATTTCGAAGTAGTCTTATTATTGTTGTAAATTCCTTGTGTTTCTGGATGTGTTTTGATTCAAAAGAGATGATGATACAAGCAGATGTGAAGCATCTCACAATTTGCTGTCATCTTAAACATTTGGAACTAGGGTTTCTCTAGCCTTATTATCAGTAACATTTGGATGTGCTCTATCTGTGCCTTCTTTTTATTTGTGGTGTTTTCACTTTTAAAACTATCTGTTTACATCATAATCAAGAATACACAGGAAGCACTGTTTGAAGAGGTACTCTTATGTACCTGAAAGCACATGATGTTTGACTTCTCTATAAAAATTGTCACTTGTGGATTTTAGATGAGGACCTTGAGATTGAGTTAGTTGAAGAAGAGCCACCATTCCTTCGAGGCCATACTAAACAGAGCATGGATATGAGTCCCATCAAAATAGTAAAGGTAAGAGATTTCCAGGACTAAAACCACTATACTTGATTTAATTAAATATTTCAGAATTTTAACAACCAGTTTTCTACCTGGACATTACAGAGCCCTGAAAAACATTACCACTGAACTGAAGACCCTTTCTTTTATAAAGATGGATTCTTACTTAACTGGTAACAGTGATTTTGGGAATAGATCCAAAATGTGCATTAGCCTGCAGCAGCAACCATTTCACATAAGTGCGTTAGAACATGCTTTCTCTGTTCTGCTTTTTCTTACCTTTTGAAAGTAGAAGGTGGTAGAGAAATACTTATTTTTCGTTGGTTGTGCCCATAATCCTTCTGACTGGACAGTGCAGGGATGCGCCGTATTAGTCATGACCATGGAAGTTCATGAGGCTGGGCTAATGGAAATATTCTGGAAGTCAAATAGATAAAAAGTTAACATACTTTAAAGCTTCTTCAGAAGAGGCTTCTAAAGGACAGCAATCACAGAGTTAATAACTTAAGAATTGGGAGTGCTTGAAATCTTTATCTTTTTATTGCTTTCCAGAATCCAGATGGTTCCTTGTCCCAGGCTGCGATGATGCAGAGTGCTTTAGCTAAAGAAAGACGAGAACTTAAGCAAGCCCAGAGAGAAGCAGAGATGGATTCTATCCCCATGGGACTCAACACACACTGGGTGGATCCCCTCCCTGATGGTATGTCTGAACGCATCTAAGCATGAACTGTGCCTTTTCTGTGATAGTTGAGCAACCCAGGAGAAATGTCTTGATACTATGTTTGTCTGCCTCACTTCAAAAGCAAGGCAGAGAAGAAATGCTTTTCCACTGAAGTGGAAGTAGGAATGTCAAGGGAAATGTACAGGTATATCCTGCTATGCGTCCAGGATGCATTACTAAAAGGTGCAATGGATGATGAAGCAATTTTTTACATGGAAATTAATGTAATAGTGGGGGGTATACATGCAGGAACTTAAAAAAAGGCTTAAACACAAGTATAGAATACATGCATAATGTAATAATAGGAGCACGATCATCAGAGTCTGCGCCATGTGAACCAGAATGCAATGGTGAAATTATTTCTTTTCTAGTGGATGGAAGACAAATAGCTGCAAACATGCGAGGTATTGGGATGATGCCCAATGATATCCCAGAGTGGAAGAAACATGCATTTGGTGGCAATAAAGCTTCTTATGGTAAGAAGACCCAGCTTTCCATTATTGAGCAGAGAGAGAGTCTCCCAATCTTCAGACTGAAGGAGCAGCTGATACAAGTAAGACTTTTGAACTGGCATTCTTGTTTGAGCAAGCAATAATTTAAAATAAATACACTTGGTTTAGCTTGTTGACAGGCAAATAGCCAGTTGATAATTTTAAGTGCAGAACTGTAGTTCAGAATAATTATTTTAAAGGATTATATACATCTGTATATTTTAGTAAAGCTCCAGATATTTATTGACGTAAGTAGAATTGAAACTAGCATCATGTTCAACAAGGGATGACTCAGCTAAACAGTTAAGCAGTCTGCTGACTTGATCACTAAGAACACTTGTGTGATTTTTGGTCTGGGTCAGCTGGAGCAAGAGCAGTAGGTGCTCAGTCTAGTCCTAGATATACTATGTTGATTTTTTTGTTTGTTTGTTTTTAAATTTTGACAAGTGTATCTGTTCTGACCTTTTCCAGGCTGTGCATGACAACCAGATTCTGATTGTTATTGGAGAGACAGGATCTGGGAAAACAACACAGATTACCCAATACCTGGCTGAGGCAGGGTATACATCAAGAGGAAAGATTGGATGCACTCAGCCTCGCAGAGTGGCTGCAATGTCTGTCGCAAAGAGGGTGTCAGAGGAATTTGGTTGCTGCCTGGGACAAGAGGTGAATTTCCATGCTGAAGAACATGCCAAAATAAGCATGAGGAAAAGTAGGAAAAATCAGTACTGGAGCTAGTTTGCTTGCGTGTCCATGTGTCTGTTCCTTTGTAGGTTGTAAAATGAGTTCACAGAATAATCAAACTGGGAATTAATGGTGCTAATAACTTAAGTCTGTAGCTTCAGTTTCGGTGCAAATCTTCTTTCTAGGTTGGCTACACCATTAGATTTGAAGACTGCACTAGCCCTGAAACTGTTATCAAATACATGACAGATGGTATGTTACTGAGGGAGTGCTTGATAGATCCTGATCTGACCCAGTATGCCATTATCATGCTGGATGAAGCCCATGAGAGGACCATACATACCGATGTGCTCTTTGGACTCCTGAAGAAGGTAATGTAGCATTTGATTTTTATTGCTTCGGTGTCCTCTGTGTGCTGTGTATGGGTAGGAGCGCACAGAGAAAGACAAGGTCACACAAGTCAAGTTCATTCATGTGCTCTTAGAGTCTCTTCTGAAGGAAAGCAAATGATTGTAAGGGTTTGTAGTCCAAATTTTCATAAGATGAGCCTTGATGTGAAGACAAAGCAAGCAAAATGCAGCAGAAACAGAATTGGCAGTCCAGGATGCCTGTAATAATGGTTGAGCAGAGGAGTGTTCTTGCTTTGCTCTTCCTTCTCTGACAAAGGCTTTCTGTGATAGGTGCTGCTAAGAAAGGTTTGAAATGTGACATTAGCAGTCAGTTTTTTTAAATTCTGGGTGCTGGAGTGAGCTGCCCTTCTACTCAGACATTAAAATGCCTGATATTACTGGGCATATTTCTCTGATTTAAGTCAAGTGCTGTTAATGTTAATAGTCCCAAAGGCAATAAATGACTTAAGAACTTTCTATCCTGCTATAGACAGTGCAGAAACGACAGGATATGAAATTGATAGTGACGTCAGCAACGCTGGATGCTGTGAAATTCTCTCAGTATTTCTACGAAGCACCAATCTTCACGATTCCTGGCAGAACATACCCAGTAGAAATTCTGTACACAAAAGAGCCAGAGACAGATTATTTGGATGCCAGTCTGATTACAGTAATGCAGATCCACTTAACAGAGCCACCAGGTGAGTGAAGAATGGTCTAGGGTGATTGGTGGTTCAAGGACTCTAATACCTATGAGCAAGGTCTTTCTATAAGTCATGGATCATGTATTAGTAACATGAGCAAAATGCTCTCAGCACTATCCTCTACTGTTTGCAAATACAGTAAATGCTGAAAAAGTTGGGTGAAAGACCGGAGTATATTGCTTCTGGCTAAGAGTTGTTGCCCAGGGGCTAGCAAAAGTTGGGGATCCTCTGCTTTAAATGGAAAAAAGGTGGGCGATGGAAATGTGGTAATGCAGGAGTTGTGCTGAACAGAATTGATTCTGCAGATGTTTTAACTTACTTCCTGTGTAGGTGACATTCTGGTGTTTCTAACTGGTCAGGAAGAGATTGACACTGCCTGTGAAATCCTCTATGAGAGGATGAAATCTCTAGGACCTGATGTTCCAGAGTTAATTATCCTACCAGTATATTCGGCTTTACCCAGTGAAATGCAAACCAGGATTTTTGACCCAGCTCCACCAGGAAGCAGAAAGGTAATTTTAGCTAAATGTGACTGCTTCTGCTGGTACATTTTGTTAGTGGGATGTATTACAGTGCCAATCAGACTTAATTTTTTTCTTTTTTGTTATCACTTATGATTCTGTTAGTTACAACTTCAGCCAAAATTATGTAGTTTTGGAGAAAAGGTGGCTTTTATGTAGTTTAGAGCATGATTTTAGTTGTGTGCATGCCTATACATGTGTCCTGGTTTTGGCTGGGTTAGAGTTAATTTTCTTCCTAGTAGCTGGTATAATGCTGTGTTTTGGATTTGGGATGAACATAATGTTGATAAAATACTGATGCTTTTAGTTGTTGCTAAACAGTTCACAACTGTTCGGCTTCTCATGCTGGCCTGCTAGTGAGAAGGCGAGGGGTGCATGGGAAGCTGAGAGGCGGCACAGCCAGGACAGCTGACCCAGGCTGGCCAAAGGGATATTCCATACCATATGATGTTATGCTCAGCATATAAACTGGGGGAGTCGGCTGGGGAGGCACCGTGGCTCGGGAACTAACTGGGCATTGGTCAGCGGGTGGTGAGCAATTGTGCTGTGCATCACTTGTTTTGTATATTCTTTTTTCATTATTCTTTTTTTTTTTTCCCCTGTCCTGTTAAACTGTCTTATCTTGACCCATGAGTTCTACCTTTTTTTTTTTCCCAATTCTCTCACCACTCCTGCTGAGGAACGTGAGGGTGAGGGTTTTAGCTACTTGCAGGGTTAAACCACAACAACATGTTATCTAAGCCTTTGAAAATTTATATGAAAACATCTGGTTTAGCAAACATCTGTGTGGAATATTCTTGGTGTGTTTTTTAATGCTGCCTTTAAAGGATATTAACTTCAGTGAAATCTAAATGCAGTTCCTCTTGAATGGATGTACATTTCCTACCAAACAGCTAATGAATATCTAGAGAGACATCCTCTGGAAGATTCTTCTCTAAATGTGAACTGTGTTTGAGTGATAGGCAGAAATTCTCCCTGAAGTCAGTGCAGTCTGCTTACAAATTTATAATGATCTTTCACTGCTAAAGCAATTACGGATTTTGTCATGCTCTTTTCCCATATTGCCTAAATGTAAAACAAATGTAGATACTTAAAATCTGTCCATTTTTGACAGATAACACTTCTTCCTGTTCCTCTGTGAACACATTTCTCCTTTTGATGTTAAATGATAGTAGTTGCATTTATAATACACTGCTTGTATCATGTTTAAGTTGAACAGTATGGTTGGCTTGGCAACCAGACATGGAACTGGTACTGAATCAAACTGTTGGTTGTAGGTTGTCATCGCCACTAACATTGCTGAGACGTCTTTGACTATTGATGGAATATATTATGTAGTCGATCCTGGCTTTGTGAAACAGAAAGTTTATAACTCCAAGACTGGAATTGACCAGCTGGTTGTTACACCGATTTCGCAGGTAGATGTTCTGTGTTTGACTCCTCACCCCTCCCCATTGGTAATATGTGTCTTGATGATGTGACATTGAAGCACGTTGAAGCAGTGTTTTTGATAACTCCATGAGACCCCTTGAGGTTGTTCCTGAGGAGTATGTACTTGTGGGTTGTATTGGAAATCTCTTTCTATTAATAGAAAAATAAAATTGTAAATAATTAATAATTTTATTTTACGTATTTTCACCTGTGCCTGTTTGCACCTGTTCACTGAGGTACCTTGTTTCTTTTAGGCTCAAGCAAAGCAGAGAGCAGGAAGGGCTGGAAGAACAGGACCAGGAAAGTGCTATAGGTTATATACAGAGCGTGCTTATAGAGATGAAATGCTAACCACCAATGTGCCTGAAATCCAGAGAACAAATTTGGCCAGTACAGTACTTTCCCTGAAGGTGGGTATTTCACCAACTTGTAGCAAGCCAACATGATTGTGTTTCAGTAAATGAGTCTTTGCCTTTGAGCCTCATTAAGTACTTCTGTAATTTCAGATCCTTCTAGTGAACAGAGATATTTATCATGACTGCATGAAATACAATTCTCAAGCACTGAGCTTGCTCCTGCATTTTTTTATTGGGGGTTATAATGTTGCATATCAAGCTAAATTACAAGTCTTAGCTGCACATAACAGTTAGTTGCAGGAGATCTGAGACACAGGAATCTTATGGGCAGTACGTTTCCCATGTTAACAACATAAATGTACTTTACAGATAAGATACGCTGTTGGAGTGGTTTTTGATCTCCAAACATGCGCATCTTCTAAGCGTGTACCATCCCTCTGGGAGTCTGCAAACTGGATCTAACCCAGTACATAACAGCTGGGAAAGTTGCTGCCTTTCCCCCTTTCTGGGAACAAGGGGAAGTGTGGAGACATATTAGTGTCCATTGGAGCTGTCAAACCACACTGGTTCACAAGACAGCAAGTCCTCAAAACCAACATTTAGCCTGTGTGTCTCCTCGATTGAATCATCTTGCTTGAGAGATGCATGGTGCAGTATCAAAGCGGCAGACCGGAAAACTGAATGGTGGGTGAAAACCATGGGCCAATGCAGATTATATTAAGTGTAGAATTATAGCCATGTATTTATGACTGTGGTTACAGTCAGGATAAGGACATGAGGCTAGGGTTGCTTAAAGTTCTGTAGTGCCTCATTGTTTGATGGTTATGTATCTCTGGCTGGAGTTTGGTGTCTTCCTTCTCAGTATTTTAACTTGGGTTTTCTCCACTCCCTATGTTCAGGCTATGGGCATCAATGATTTGCTCTCCTTTGACTTTATGGATGCTCCCCCGATGGAAACTCTCATAACTGCCATGGAACAGCTGTACACCTTGGGAGCTCTGGATGATGAGGGACTGCTTACTCGACTTGGGCGCAGGGTAGGCAAAATAGAATACTTAGCACTGGCTGAGTTGCAGACATTTAGGGGGTCACATGAGAGTAGTCGTATAAGGCACTGTTGGTTTCCTTTTCCTGTTATTATCTTGTGTTTTTATTGGTAGCTTTTCACTTAGTATAGTTATGTACCTTCTGCTTTTTTAAGGAGCAGCTACTATTTCTCCCTATTGATAAGGTTACTTTAATGTATAAAAATTTCTTTTAAGTATTGGGATATTCTTGTGATAATGAATATAGAGAAATAATTTGTTTCATGTTGAGTAAAGTTATTCTGGGTAAAGCACACTGCTTTGGAAAGGAAGCATGGAAGAAAAGGCATTGCTGTCATTTGCACTGAGAGAACACAAGATTTTTTCCAAGATGTTGCAGGGTAACCTGAAACAGGTTTCTTGCAGATGGCGGAATTCCCCTTGGAGCCTATGTTGTGTAAGATGTTAATCATGTCTGTACATCTGGGATGCAGTGAGGAAATGTTGACAATAGTCTCCATGCTGTCTGTACAGAATGTGTTCTACAGGCCAAAGGTAAGGGATGCAGTCAAGAAGCAGTGTTACAGTCTGGGTGGTTTTTGTGTGTACCTGCCTCAGGTGTTAGAGACTGAGCATATTTGCTGAAATAAACTTGTAGCTTGGTTAGACTGTTTGCTCATATGTTACATTTCTGATACATCTTTAGTTACAGGATATATCAGAAAGATACATCTTTTAGCTGTGGATATTGGTAGTTTCTTTGGAGATGGGAAGACGGAATTTAAAGTCTCACAATCTCTTCTGCATTTCCCAGTAAACACATAGACCCTAAACCAAGTCAGTCCTGGCTCTGGAGTTCAGAATGGCTTTGACATTTTCAAATACACAGAATGTTACTTCTTTATGGCAATCCTATCCTGTGCTGATTTCTTAAGTCAGCAAGCAGCAGACTATGCCGTGGTAGGATTCCTCAACAGCAGACTCCTCTTGAATACATTATTTCTTCATTATGATGGCATGCTGCAGTTTAGTCTGTTAACTTGAATTTTGATCTGTGTAGCCAGCCACAGTGTTTGATTAATGTTTTATCTGCAGATTGGGGAAGTGGGGAGATGTGGGTAGGTCAGTAGGGTCAAAGCTACTGCTTCAGCACCTTTGTTGATGAGTAATTGAGGTTGCTTCTAGACCAATAAAAAACTAAGTAGTTCAATGCATGTGTATACTTCCTGCAGTACAAATGAGCCATTTACTTTGAAGTGCCCTTTCAAAAATAGGGACTAAAATTGAATAAAAAGTACCAGTTTAAAAAAAAAAGTCTTTTCTGGTCAGGTCCTTGTCACCCATGGGAGAGTCTTTAGGAGAGTCTATGTAAGGTCTCTCTTTGGCAAGAACAATTGTAGGCTTTCCTTTCGTACAGGAATAGTTTTGCCTCAGTGAGAGCAGTCTCAGTGACCTTTAGATTCTTTTGACTTGGTGCTTAGTCGCTCACCACTCAGAATTTTGTGTCATTTTCTCAGTCTTAGATCATCTGTTCTTGGTAGACTTGGCATGGTATGAGTGACAAGGAGCCCATGTCCTTCATGTTGTACAAGGATTGTCTTTTTGGTGTAGATATCTGATTGATACATATTTTGTGTTAGGATAAACAAGCACTTGCTGATCAAAAGAAAGCCAAGTTCCATCAGACAGAAGGTGATCACCTCACTCTGCTGGCTGTGTACAATTCCTGGAAGAATAATAAGTTTTCAAATCCCTGGTGCTATGAAAATTTTATCCAGGCCCGATCCTTACGTAGGGCACAGGACATCCGCAAGCAGATGTTGGGCATTATGGACAGGTGAGTGTGTCAGGAAGGACAAATAGTGACTTGTGTTTTCTTAGTGTTCTTACGCTGTAGTAGCTAAACAAAATTTGCTAATCTGATATTAGTAGCTGCACCCAAATATGAACTCTTAGCTTTTTTCTCTCTAACTCTTGTCTGGCAGGCACAAGCTGGATGTGGTATCCTGTGGGAAGGCAACAGTTCGAGTCCAGAAGGCAATCTGTAGTGGCTTCTTCCGAAATGCAGCGAAGAAGGATCCCCAGGAAGGTTATAGAACACTTATTGATCAACAGGTAGTCTATATCCACCCATCCAGTGCTCTCTTCAACAGGCAGCCAGAATGGTAAGGAAGGCAATATCATGTAATTTTCAATTTCAGTTCAGACTTTATAACTGAAAAAGTTGCAGTGTGCACTATTTGTGGAATACAGATCGAAGTATAGGCTGCTGGTTTCTCAGCAATGAGCAGATTGAGAAAAGTTTCAAGTCTGCTTTTGGCTCTTTCTGCTGCTAAAATTAGTGCCTGTGCAGAGATGAGACTTACTTCTTGAGCCAAGGCCAGGACTGAAGCCTGCAGTTCTGGTTTCTGTATTGAAGGGAGTTTAAAACACTGAGTGTTGAGAGGGAGGGAGTGGGGAAAAGAGAGAATTGTTTTAACTGGAATGAAGTAGTTTTATGCTGAGAGTAGTTGTAAAGTAGAGGAAAAAGATGATAGCTTTTCTGGATGATTGTTTTGGAGCCTGCATTGGAGCTTATAAGGAGCCTTATGCTGAAGGAGGATGAAGCAGAGATAAAGGGGCAAGCTTAGATACTCCAGCCCTTGCCTTGTCTCTTCTTGTTTGGAAAAACTTCCAAAATTCCTGTCCCTTTTCACAGGGTGGTCTATCATGAACTGGTGCTGACCACCAAAGAATATATGCGTGAAGTGACGACTATTGATCCTCGCTGGCTGGTGGAATTTGCACCAGCTTTCTTCAAGGTTTCTGATCCAACCAAGCTGAGCAAACAGAAAAAGCAGCAGCGGCTGGAACCGCTGTACAATCGCTATGAGGAGCCCAATGCTTGGAGGATATCTCGTGCATTCAGACGGCGCTGAGCCTAGTTCCCTCATGGACTCTTACTGGTTTTATATTTGTGGGACTGTTTGGTTTTTTTGCACTGTTGAAGTGTCCTGAAAGCAAGGACATTCAGTTGAAGCTTACCTACAAAATGAACAAAAAATAAGTATTTTCAGAGCAAAAGCACAAGGGGGCGATGTGTGCTCATGTCAGCTACCTGTCAGATCCACAGCTGCATGACAAATGTGGTGGGTCTCAGTGTGTTGCATCATGTAACAAATGGTTCTTGAAGCCCTTCTTCAGTCATTCCCCTTTTTAGAGACAAAACCTAAACCTAGGAAATCTGGGTGCTAAGCTGAACAACAAAAATATAATGATTAAAAAATAGTTGTTCACCAACCTGTGTTCTGAATGACCAGACAAATAGAGCCTGGAATAGTTTGTTTGTTTACCCTGCTAAAAAGAATTTATTTCTACTTATGCTCTTGAACAGTGGCTGGGTTTTTCTGGGAGCTGCTGGTTCTCAGTTTTTCCTATTTTACGCGTTTTCCTGTTCAGTGTAATGTTTGTCTTTTATGCAAGCCATCTGTGGTGAGATATTTAGTATCTGTGGCTTTGGGATAATGCAGGAAAGATCCCTTGAAACCCAGATAGAATGTCAGTTATACTTGGACAATGGCACAGGTCAGGCTGCAAGTCTTATCCTTCATCACTGTCTCCTGTGTGCTGAAGGCTAGTATGTCAAATGGTAATTAACCACATCCACTCTGTAGCACGGTTCTGAACATAAGTGGTTACAGCTGTTGAGACTTTCTATACAATGTGTCATGTGTTTTATTTCCACTTACAATGTTTGGTGACATCACAGCTGTTTTTTAAGCTAAAATGTCTGTAAACAGTTCCTTGTTTAAAAAGAAGTTGACTATCCAATGTCATGCTGAAGTTATCTGTTAATTATTTTTTCTGTTGCAAACAGATGAAACTTATTTGACTCCATAGCTGCAGATACACAATTTTTATTTTTTTTCCAAAGCTGGGACATTTGCTAAAATTATTGTTGAAATGAGGAGAATTAAGTTGTCTGGTTGTTTTACACTCAATGAATTTGAAGAATGTTTCACACTGGAAAGTAGCTATAGTGGAAATCTGTCTATGTACAAAGGTGGGCAGGGATGTTGTATATACTGTTTTATCATGTTCTGTAAATGCCCTGAGTTTTCCCATGGTATTACATCTTGATGATAAAGTTAAATAGAATTAGAAAGTTCATAAGTTTGGAGGCTTTTTTTCATTATGGCATTAGGCAGAGAAGGTTGTCCTATCAGTACTCTTCCAAGCATATTTTCTTTCCATGAACTCTGCAGCTGCATCTGTTACTGGTTTCTATGAAAATTTGCACTTGACTTTGGAAAGTCAAATGAAGGAGGTAAAAAAGAAAATGTACACAGTGGAAGTCCCAGTTGTATAGCGTACTTTGAGGTATTTCTGTTCCAAATTTATTTTGTATTTGCTTCTCCAGTGTAGCCTCTTTCTGACTTACTGTAGGGGAAAATGCACCAACAGAGAGGCAGTGTTTTTTTAAAGTGAACGATTGTCATCTGTCTTGTGTATGTTATTTCTTTCCTTGGTGTAATTTTTTCAGTAATACCTTCTAATTCATTTACTGTAACTTTCCATGTCAGCCTCAGCTGCTTGCTTTGAGAATACCCTGCATCCAAAACTAGCCTGTGAAACAAGAATGCTGGCTTACATACTTGAACCACTTACATTTTTTGATGCTAATTTCATCAACTTGTTACTGCTCTGAGGTTTCTGAGCATAACATCCTAATGTTTTCTGCTGTTTATGTGACTTTTAGTTGGTTTATCTTGTGTTCAAAACCATAGACTTTATGCTTTATTCTGGCAGTCCTTACATAACTGAACAGGTATTTTAGCCCTGTGCTGGTGAAAGTGTTCCTTGAACTCCTGTGTGAGGTAACTCCTGTGTGTAAGCACTTGCCAACCTGCCTCTGTCTAAATGAACTGTGATATTTTAAATGGTGTAAGTTGTAGATCATGTGGTTCATTTTGACTGTACTGAGTTAATGCACTAGAACTGGTAACACAAGTTTCTTACCTAAAGGCAAAAATACTGCCAGCAGAGGCCATGTGTCTAGTTTGGAGTGTTTGTGGAGGTATGTTTAGCATAACTGCTGAAAATTTCCTGAGTAATGTAAGTGTGTGTGTGTGTGTGTGTGTGTGTGTGTGTGTGTGCAATCTTTGCATGTGTCCCTTTGTCAGCAATAAATAGCATCCTTGCCTTTAGCAGGTCTTGTCCTGCCGACTGTGCTAGTGCGGGGTGGAAGTTTCTATAAATATGCCAGGAGGAGATGAGCTTTCCCGATCTCCAGTCTCATTACTGTCAGCAACAGCAGCAAATACAGCCACTGCCTTGGGTGTCTCCCTGCATCCGGAAGGTGTTGAAAAGAGGCTTCTGCTGTAATTAATGAGGAAAGCTTAGGCTGCCAAAGCGCTAGGGCTATTCTTACAGCTGCTGGCAGAGGACAAACTAACAGTAGTTAGCTACAGGTGAACAGAGAGGGAAAAACGGGGATGTAGACAGGGTGAGAATAACTGCAAGAATAAATTGAAGGATCATGATGAGTGCCATTCTGACGAGAGGTTGGCAAAATGGCACCAGCCTTCGGGGAGGTGTAGATGAAGGTTCAAGCTATGGTAGCTTCCACCCCCCAACATCCCCCAGAAGACGAAGGAGCAATGTAAAGTGCTGAATGGTTCCTCTGAGGAATTCCAAGCCATCTGTGAACCTTTCCTCAACAATGCTGATTTAATCCTCATTTAATGCAAGTAGCATGGACTAGGCACCGCTGGTTCCTGTTCCCCAGAGGCTGATGTAGTGTTCCTTGCCTAGCTGGGGGCCTTGTTCTGCTTGTGGAGATGTGAATCTTTCTGAATGGATGGAGCAAACACTCCTTTGTCTCATACACTGGCAGCATGTGCCATAGGCCGATTTCCATCTGTTAGCTGATTATCACAAGCAAAGGATTCACAGCAAAAGGATAACTCCTACATTCATGTGTGTACACACATATCCAAAAACAACCTTTTGCCCTTAATGCAAGAAAGATAAATACTACTTTTACAGCCAACCCCACACATGCTCCATCTGCTACAGTAACTACCTTAACCTCGTTAGTGGGCTTGTTACCAGAGGCAGTGTGACAGCAATGTGCTGCTTACACAATGGGGGTTTTGTTTGTTAGTAATTCAGTTTTCATGAGATTTCTGTGACAATTACAGAAGGCTGTGATACTGACCCACTAGGAGTTTCATGGAATTTTTCATTTATGCATGTATTGTTCTTTCAAGCCAGCTGGGAATACAGTGAGTGAGTATCTGATTTTAGCAAATGTGTTTTGTATGTGTATGTTCTGTAACCTACATAAATCCTCTGGCTGGTCTGTTAATACAGTGGAGGTGGAGAAGCAGGGCTGCACTGATCTGGATAGGCTGGTTTATTTGGCTCAAAAATGATCTTGTAGTTTTTGTAGCTAGTAGGCCTGTGGGTCTGTCCAAACACAGCTCTGCTCTGCAGGCTGCTTTGAAAGTAGTGCTTGTTTGAGTGTAGAAGAGTCTCCTAGTCGAGTTCAATATTAGCTCACTTTTATTAGAAAAAAGGCAAGGAGGTGGAATTGAACTGGATCATAGGTGGCAGATCCTGCCTATTTTGGAATGTGAATGTTGTTTCTACCATTTAGGTCTGCCACAGTGACAGTGTCTGAAAAGCCTGTTGATGGAAAGCCAGTGTTAAGATTTTCTTCAAGTTTAGGAAACATAAAATCTATCAGAGGTGTGGGGAGAAGTCGTATCAGTTCTTACGCCTCTCTTGCCTTTGGTTAATCCACCACCATGTCCATTTAGGATGTAAACACGCATGTTGTAGAAGCTTCTGCTCTGCCCTATCCCCCTACACATAAGCCTGGTTCCCTGAAAAGTTGAGGTGGACTCATGGCGCTGAGATGGATTTGGTTTTTACTTAAGTAATTTGAATGCTGTGTTTCTCTCCCCCACCCTCTGGGCTGCACTCATGTTCAAGCTCTTCTCTACAGCCATAAAGCTCTTGGCCTCACTCTGAAGCAGGATCAGCAGCCATTCCCTGGCCGCTTTTGCATCCAGGATTTAGGGGGTTCAGAAAAACACCAGCTGTTGCCAACTTCAGGACTGCAGGTAGCCTGCCCTCTGAGAAAGCCATGTGCTGTGTTGCAAATGAGATCTTGCACAGCAGAGGTAAGGAGCACTCATTTGCACAACTGAGTTGAGCAGAGCCAGTGAAGGGATGAGGACCTGCTAGGTGACACAGGTGTTGATCAGTGCCCTGAGGACACAGGGGTGGCTGCTGCCAGTGTGGAAAGCTGAGCTGCCAGCCCCTGCCTTCTGAGAGGGGAAGTGGCTGGAGGCTGTTCTCTGCATCTCATCTCAGGGATTGTTGGGTCTCTAGGGTCTTTTCTGTACTTAATTAGCCTTAGGATTTGGGAAGAGTCAGGGTAGAATATGCCCTATCTCAAGGTATCTTGAGCAGCACCGGATTAACGCACAGTGCCAATACAGCATTGCTGGGCTGTCTCTGGCTGCAGTGTGCAGAGCCTGTTCTGTTGCAGCACAAGCCTTGGGCCCCACCAGCTCCTGAGCCCTTGCTGCTTGCAAACACAAGTGTACGCCCTATGAAAGGGCAGGTAGTAGCTGATAAAGAGTACGAGGCACTCAGGACTGTATTTGTCATCTGGAGAAGCAGGGTTGACATTCAGCTAAAAGTGCCAATGTTGAGCTGTGGCAGCCACGGGCACCTCAGCTACCACTGTTCTCTGTGTCACAGGGCTGGGCTGAGGTGGTGGGATGGTGTCAGGGCAAGCTGGGGTGCAGCAGTCTCCGGATGACATGGACCCTGACATGGCAAGGGAGTGGACTGACCTCTTTCTCTAGGAATAAACCCTGAGGAAACTTCTCCAGAATCGGAGCCTGGGAGACATCCCAGGGAC